CACTGACTCCCTGGACACCCTTGAGGAGCAGGGAACACTGTCAGGGGTTCTCCACTTGGTGTTCTACTCTGGATGAATGACTTTTTACCTTTGACCTCACTCCCACTCCTATTTTTTTCATTTGTTGTCCCCAAAATCAATTGTGGCCTGAACTTAGTGGTTTCTCCCCCTTCATTGAGGGGGAGGGCCTTTAGTTATGGACAGGCCTAGACCCACCTGCCCGAGTACTACAAATAGTATATACCTCCCAACTTCTGTAACAAAAGAGGCAGGGGTCAGACAACATTCTCCTTCATTGCACAATCTTGATTAATCCCCAGAGCATATCCATCCTAGATTAGGCAGGGGTCCTGAGGAACAAAATAGTTTGTGATCATAATGCATATGCATAAGGGGATTGAATTAATGTTACAATGGTAACTTTATTCTGTCATTTCCTAACTTTTAGGGGCCTGATTTTGCAATCTTAATAATGTTCTTTTAACTTAAAATTTGTGTGTGTGTGTAATCATCTCAGTTTTGAAAAAACGGAAACTGAAAAAACAGAAATTCCATCATGTGTCATCATATTAACATGTAATAGTTCATCAGCAGGGTTGGAACCTTTAGATCCACAGCACAGTCCTCTCCCACTTGAGCTAGTTGAATGACTGATAGCATAGGAGATTGACATCTATGTGAACCAGAACTAGAAGAGAATAAGGTGCATACTTTGCCAGTGAGTTTCAAATTTTGTTGACAGCAGAGGAAATGTGAGACTCAGAAGTCTTGGGTTCCATTCCAGGTTCTGGAGGAAAGTATGTATAAGTAGGGGCATTGCCAGCAGATCGAGGGATGTGATCGTTCCCCTCTATTCGACATTGGTGAGGCCTCATCTGGAGTACTGTGTCCAGTTTTGGGCCCCACACTACAAGAAGGATGTGGAAAAATTGGAAAGAGTCCAGCGGAGGGCAACAAAAATGATTAGGGGGCTGGAACACATGACTTATAAGAAGAGGCTGAGGGAACTGGGATTGTTTAGTCTGCAGAAGAGAAGAATGAGGTGGGATTTGATAGCTGCTTTCAACTACCTGAAAGGGGGTTCCAAAGAGGATGGATCTAGACTGTTCTCAGTGGTACCTGATGACAGAACAAGGAGTAATGGTCTCAAGTTGCAGTTGGGGAGGTTTAGGTTGGATATTAGGAAAAACTTTTTCACTAGGAGGGTGGTGAAGCACTGGAATGGGTTACCTAGGGAGGTGGTGGAATCTCCTTCCTTAGAGGTTTTTAAGGTCAGGCTTGACAAAGCCCTGGCTGGGATGATTTAGTTGGCAATTGGTCCTGCTTTGAGCAGGGGGTTGTACTAGATGACCTCCTGAGGTCCCTTCCAACCCTGATATTCTATGATTCTATGTGCACTAGTGGGCACAGACAGTTCTGCTGGTTTTCCCCAAGCTTGACCTCTTCTGCCCCATTCCCTTCAACCTGTCTCTGTCCCAGTCCTATCTCTTTCCTGCTCCTTGTCCCAGTCTCATTTTCCTTTCCTACGCAGTCCCAGCATCCACTCCTCAGGCTTCTCATCACAATCCCAGTCTTCTTGTCCAACCAGTCCTAGTGTTCTGCTCTGGGATCACTCTCTGAACCTCAATTTCCCCCATGACTCCCAGTCCCCTTGCTCAGCCTGCCCCAGTTTCCCCCTCCTGTCCCAGCTTCTTGTCCCCAGTCTCCATGCTCAGGCAGTCCCAGTTCATGCTACCTAGCTCCTCATTTGATACATCTCTCCCCTCATCCCCTTCTCTTGCTCTCAGTCCCATCTAACTTCTCCAGGCTCCTCATCCAATCTCAGTATCTCCCAGGAATTCCCTACCCGGATCCTTCTCCCAATCACTTTGCCCAGCAAGCCTCAGTTCTCCCCTCACACTCCAACTCCTCGTTAGGTCTGTCTCTCATTCCCTCCCTACTGTTTTCCTCCAGTGTTTCCTAGACTCAGCCCCCTTGTCCAGCAAGAAGCAGTTTCCCTCTTACCCCAGCTCCATGTCCAATCTCAGTATTCCCCACTCCTCTCAGCCAACTGACTCTCATTTTGCTCACCAGCTCCTAATTCCAATCTCCCCCTCCAAAGGCTCTCAGGACCAGCCTTCTCCCACAGCTCCCAAGCAGTTCCAGCTCCCAGTCAAAGTGTCTCTCCCCTCTCCAAGTCTCATCAGACTCCTTGTCCCAATTTATTCCTTTCTCTCCCCTCCCCCACATCTGGTTCTTGTTCCATCTCCATTTGAATCAGGTGGTTTCTTCTTCTACTCTGCCTACATGCCAGCAGGTTGGTCAGTGAGAGCACAGGACAGATAGGTTCCAGGTTCTCAGTTCTGGGGCATGGCCCCACACCAACCTGCAGCAGCAATTACGAGGAAAGTCCTTCTGAAACCCCAGAGCTCTGGGCTGGAGCACGCTCAGTTGCTCTGTGGGGGTGGCGTATGCACGATCTGGTCAGCTCTAGGAGGTGTGACTTTTTGAACATGCTCAGTAAAGATGGAATCTTCAGTGATTTTAGGTGTGAATATCTAGCAAGGCTCTAGTGCAGGGGCCAGCAACCTTTCAGGTGGTCCACTGAAACACCTTGGGTTATGAACGCTAATAACATTAGTAGACAATGTTTCCATTAATAGACAAGAGGCTCAGCAACCTATTCCAGGTGCTATGTTATGATTTATATGAAGGTTAGAGACTTAATGACAAGCACTACTTAACTGAGAGGGTTATCAAACAGAAAACTGCCAGTAACATTTTTTAAAAAAACTGTCTATATTTGTTTGTGTGTAAACTTAGGGAAGTTATTGTTTGTTCTGGTTTATTGTTGTATCTAATTAATTGGGGTCTGATCCTGCAAACAACCACACATGTAGTCAATGGGACTGCTCTTGTTCATACGTGTTTGCAGTATGGCCCCTTAGTCAGAAGTTAGGCAGCTGTGCAGAGAAGCAATTTAAAAGCTGCTACTGTGAATGTGCCAGCATCTTAGGCCTGGTCTACACTAACACCCCAATTCGATTTAAGGTACGCAACTTCAGCTACGTGAATAACGTAGCTGAAGTCGACATACCTTAGTTCGAATTTACCGCGGTTCAGACGCGGTCCACACGCGGCAGGCAGGCTCCCCCGTCGACTCCGCGGTACTCCTCTCGCTGAGGTGGAGTACCGCAGTCGACGGCGAGCACTTCCTGGTTCGAATTATCGCGTCCAGACCAGACGCGATAAATCGAACCCGGAAGTTCGATTGCCAGCCGTCGAACTACCACGGTAGTGTAGACATACCCTTAGCTAGTTAGTCTTCTGTATTGTTCTCTAAAAGCTCTGTGAACTTTTCTTTCAGGGTAAAATTCATCCCTCTGCAGAAAACCAGCACAAAGCCCATGGACCATTTAAATCTCATTTAATCCCTCGAAATAGGTTTTAAGGCACAAGCCTTGTGTGCTGACTTTTATTTCACCCTCTATGTTAAAAGTTAATCATTTCATAAAAGAAAGCCAATAGGATAATTTGCAATGCTTCTTCAAGTATAACAGCCATGTATTTTAGCTGAACATTCAAATGGTCACAATTTCATCTTTAATATACCACAAAGGAGCATAGTCCAGGCATGAGAAGATAGGTTTTTACTTTCCAGCAAGTGCTGCAGTTTTTCTAGTTGCAGTCAGCTTGATGAAGCTTGGAGAGTGATGTCCACTGGCCAATAGCATTCACCATTTGACTGAAGTCATGCAGCCCCACTGAGCTGACTGGCTAGCCTTAAAAGTTGGCTGCATGGGAAGGGTACAGCTTCCATTTTCCATCATCCTGGGGCTCTCAAGCAAATTGTGAAACCAAATATCTCCAGAGTTTGTGTTTTATCAGGTTCCTTGATAATATCTTATAATGATTTTAAATATTACTACTTGTTACAAGCATTGCAAATGGATCTTTAAGTTTACTTCAAAATATAAATACAAAACAGCTGCACAGAACAGCAACTTATTCCCTAACAATAACAGCATTTTACTAAAGCACATTGATGACACCAAATCATGTTTTCAAAGATCACAGATTCTTTGCTGCATCCAGTTTCAAGAGTGGGCTGTCAGAGAGAGGGCTCTAGTTTCTCGTTTAACTGCGTGACCATGGCCCCAAGGGATCAGTTGGGGATTGTCCTTCACACTCTGGTCACTCCCTCTGTCATGTCCTCATAGCCCAAGCATGTCTTCTGTGCAGAGAATGGGGGATGGCCAGGAGGGAAGTGTAGCAACTGTCTCTGCCAGGTCTCAGAGTAGCAGCCGTGTTAGTCTGTATCCGCAAAAATAACAGGAGTACTTGTGGCACCTTAGAGACTAACAAATTTATTAGAGCATAAGCTTTCGTGGGCTACAACCCACTTCTTCGGATGCATCCGAAGAAGTGGGTTGTAGC